TAGCAAGTTATCGCTACTCGCGTGTCACGCGGTCGTTTGTGTCCCGTGCGCGGTTTCTATTTTGTCGTGTGTCTCGTGCACGGTTTCTTTTTTGTCGTGTGTGGAACGTTCGAAGTATCGGAGGTGTGTGCAGCAGACCCCTCAAGAACTCAAGGATGAGTGTACTCCGACAAGGGGTACACTGCACACCGCGAAAAGGGGTACACTTTAAGATAATGAGAAAAAGTTCCATTACTTTGTGTAGTGTAACATTTCACTTGGTGTAGGCCCTTGTGAAGGGTAGTTTCGAGACCCTTCGTGATTGGGGACAGTGTGACACTGTTCCACATCACTGTACCTCGGCTCTTGGGGTTTGTAAGAGCTGGGAGTCATTCCCAACTCGCAACTCTTCCTAATTTGTGTACTAAGACTATAGTGGCTGCCATAGTGCCGTTCGTTCAAACTGACGTTATGTCGTCAATTCTTAATGAACTCGAGCGATCAAAATTGACTATTGTAGGCGACGTCAAGACGCTCCAGATACACTTTGAATCGGGCCATTTAGAGCTGTGACCAGAACGCTGTGAACGTTCAAAGCCGATGTGCAGAAATCCGACTGTGCACCCTATCTTTCGTTTTAGGTACATTTGAGCCTACTGTGACCATAACAGAAGTGACAGGGTTCGGAGGCAGTAGCTGCTGCTGCTGCTGCTGCTGCTCTCTCGGGGGCCAGTGTGAAACGTGTAGAGACCAGAACCCGGCTCCTGGCGGAAGGTGGCCAGGGGGGCGTACGTGTCACCGTCCACATAAGCCGCAGAGTCCTCAGAAGGCTCAAACCAAACACCAACGTGCTGACTCACGAGCGGCCCCACACCCACCAAGTTCCTAGAGAACGAGGGGATGTGGAGGCCCGTCAGAGAACTCGAGGGAACAGCGGGGCATGGAAGCGTAGTAGAGTGGTGAGCAATGACTGGTCCCGAAGTGGGTTCAGCCAGTGCTATAAAGACTGGCGCAGGAAGCGGAGTAAGAGTCACGTGGTCGCGGAAGAAACACTTCGAAGCTCCGGAGTCCAGGGTGAAAGACAGCGAAGCGTCCGCCGGAGTAGCACCTTGACGAGTACCTAAGCAAGTACCTACACTAGCAACTGGCACAGGATCAGCACTAGCACCTAAGCTAAAAACACGCGAGCAAACGGAGTCAGAAACACTAGGGTCAACAACAGCATACATAGCATTTGCAGTTCCTAAGAGTTCAATTAACTGAGAAGTAGACATGTCCCACAGCGCGGGACCGTGCGAGAGAACAAAGGGAAGCCAATTAGAGGCAGGGCCGTCTGCGCCGTAGGCCGCGCGAAGTCTGTCAGTGAGCCGAGAAAAGCACTGACCTAGTGGGTGACGGCGGTCGCAGCGGAGGCCACTGCGAGTACCTGTCTGGATGAGTTAGGGGCAGGGTGGGTGGGCGTCACCACACGACAGCTGACGCGGTCCTGACCCGTGCCTCTGACCCTGCTGCTGCCCCTGTTGCTGTTGTGGCTGCTGCTGCCGCTGCTGCTGCTGCTGCTGAGCCAGGTACCAGGCCGCCACCCCAGCACCGGCAACTGGCAGCCCCGCAGGTGCCGGACGAACCTGAGCGTCACCTCCACCAGCTGCAGCAGGGGAGCCACTAGAAGCTGCACGAGGCGCTCCACCAACACCTGCACTCCCGCCACCGCCACTCGCCATGCCACCTCCGCCGTCTTCGCTGCTGGCTGCACCTTGGCCGCCCCTCCTGCCACTCTAGACCGCGCAGAAGTCGTGACAGCAGCCGCGGTCTCATCAGTAGCGGTAGTGGCGAGGGAGGCAGTGAAGGTGGGCAGCTGTGGGACAGTGCACCCGTGGAACAGTGGGGGGGACACAGCGCCAGAGGCAGAGGCTACCGAGCGGAGGTTGCTCTCGACGTCCTTGAGTGCAGCATCAAGGACGGCGATAGTGAGCTCGCTAGTGTGCTTCAGCAGAAGCGTGTCGCGAACAGTGGCAAGGCGGTCAGGGAGGCTAGTGGCGATAATATAAATAGTGATTGCCATAGGGGGGGGAAGCAGTGTGAGCTGTGCATCGGTACATGCAGCGCAGTAGCTCAAGTCTAGCGAACGCAGGTGTGCAATCAAGTCAGATTAGCGCTCAAAGGAGGCAAGGTCCGGAAATAGGAACGGGAGAAACATGCGACCAAGTGAGACAGTGGTGGGAGTTGAGTAGAGGGCCTTAATCACAGTAAGGAACTCTCGAGCAGAGCGAACCTGAGTGAAGTGCGCCTCTTCAGACTCAGGGATGGGGCTGCTGAGGGCGATGCAGGCCACTGCGTCGCGAGACTTCCACGCTGTAACGGCAGCCCGCTCGCGGGCAAAGCGCTCCCTGTCTGCAGCAGTGGGGTCAGCGCCTAGCGCATCTGGGGCAGGGGGCTCAGGGAGGTCACTGGAGGCGTGTGCCCAGAGGGTCTCGTCAGCCTGACACTGACTCTCTAGTAGGCGTTACGCACGAAGGAGGCGGAATGAAAGCTCTAGCGGTCTACCATCGGCATCGAAGCGGAGAAGTCTGCGGGCCGCCATAGTTGACTAGCAAGGGGAGATGCGGCTGCCAACCACCGAGAAAGCTTGAGCAGGGCGGGCACGAAAGTGTGCGGGCGTTTAGGGCATGACGCTGAGGGTGCGGACGGACGGGCCAGACACTAAGGGCGCGGACGGACGGGTAGACAGGGCGCAGGGTGTGGACGGACGGGCGCAGGGTGCGGACGGACGGGCGCAGGGCGGACGGACGGACGGACGGGACGGACGGGCGCAAGGCGGAGGGCGCAGGGGACGGGACGGACGGGACAGACGGGACGGAGGAGACAAACGAGCGCAGGGCGTGGACGGACGGGACGACGCGACGGGACGGGACAGGCGAGGCGCGACGCGACGGGACGGGCCGGGCGCGACGCGACGAGCAGGGAGACGCGACGGGACGGGACAGGTTGGGCACGACGCAACGGGATGGGCAGGGCGCGACGCGACGGGTCGGGCAGGGCGCAACGCGACGGGCAGGGAAGCGCGACGGGCGCGAGGGGACGGGACGGGACGGGCGCGACGGGCGCTAGAGGACTGGACGAGCGCGGCGGGCGCTAGAGGACAGAATCGGCGCGACGGGCGCTACGGGCGTCATAGGCTAGGCGCAACGGGCGCGGGAGGCTCAAGAGAGAGGAACGTGTCAGAATGTTATAATTGTCTAGCCTGCAGTGGGGTACTCTATAGTGAGTACAGCCCAATTAGGGTTTGCTATATGTATCCAACTGCTTGCTAGTGAACCTCCTCCTTTCTTCATTCTTACTTTCTACTGCTAGTTTTGACATGCTATCAGAGCAGGTCGACCCTCCTGGGTCGATCCTGTGGGTGGGCCCACCACCTCACTGCTTCCGCTGCTACTGCTACTCTGTGTGTTGCACGCCCCGTGGCGTGCGACGGATTTTTCATCCCGCCGCGCGCTCGGAGCGTGCGGCGGTTTTCTGCCCGCCGTGCGCCCCGAGGCGCGTGGCGGTTTTCTGCCCGCCGTGCGCCCGAGGCGCGCGGCGGTTTTCTGCCCGCCGTGCGCCCCGAGGCGCGGCGGCTTTCTGCCCCGTCACTCCGCGCGTCGCTCCCGGGAGGCGCTGCGACAGGCGACGGGGACCCGCGCGTCGCCCCCCGTCGCCCGTCGCGGCCTGCGCGACCTGCGTAGGGCCCGCGCGCGGCCCGTACAGCCTGCGCGCGGCCCGTACGGGCTGCGCCAGGCCCGCGCGCGGCCCGTACGGGCTGCGCCAGGCCAGGGCGCGCCTCGGGCCGCCCGCACGCGGTTCGTACGGGCTACGCCAGGCCCGTGGGCGCCCTGTTTCCTCTTCCCCTGCGCTGCCCGCTGTCCCCCGTGCTTCTGACGGCGCCCCACCCCTGCTGCTGCCCGTTCTCCTGAATTAGGGTTTGGGGTGGGGGGTATGGGGGTGCAGTTTCTGTGTACGGCATGGGATGCGATGGTACGGCATGGAATGGCATGGAATGGTATGGCACAGAAGTGAAGTGCATGGCATTGCAGGGCACAACAGGGCAGGCTGTGAAATAGAATGGCCATGACTTACAGCCATGACTTACAGCTATGACTCGCTCTGGCGGAATCTTGTAGAATCGAGCCAAAGGACCCACCTGCAATGTGGTGCGGTGGTGTGGGGTACAGTGGTGTGGGGTGCGGTGGTATGGGGTACGGTGATATGGGGTGCAGTGGTATGGAGTGTCGCTCAGGTTCACGAGCGACTGAGGATTCACCAACAGCACTTTGATTTTCTCTTATCGTCCTCTGGCCTCATCCCCTTTTTCCTCTTCCCTCCCCACCCCTTCACCCGCACCTTCTCTCCATCCATCATAGACACTCACTCTCTCCCCACTGAGGTTCATGAACGTCTGGGGCTTCACCGCAGCTCCCCTGCCCATCCACCCTCCATTCGCCTTCCCTCTTTTCCCACTCACTCTCCCCATCATAGCCACTCACGCTTTACCCGCTCAGGTTCATGAACGTCTGCAGCTTTACCAGCCCCATTTTAGGCCTTCATTATCAAAGACCGTTTCTCAACCCTTCTCTTACCCCACCACCCGGTCTCCCCTTGTCCACTCACGCTCTCCCCTCTCAAGTTCATTAACGTCTGGCTGGGGTTCACCAGCAGCACTTTGAGGCCCCACTATCGATCAGGTATCATCAAAACCCCCACCACCTTCCCACCCACCCCCCTTATCACTCACGCTCTCCCCACTGAGGTTCATGAACGTTTGTGGCTTCACCAGCAGCATAGGGCACCCGGCAATGCGACCCTTGCCCACCACTGCCCTGCTCTGCACGGCACTCAGGGATATGCTGGTAACTATCGCCCTCGTACCCCCCGCCCTCTCATTCCCACCCCCCACCATTCACACTCTCCCCACTGAGGTGCATGAACGCCTGTGGATTCACTAGCTGCACTTTGAGATTCCGCTGAGCAGGTACCATCAAACCGCCCTACTTACCACTCGCTTTTTCTCTCACGCTCTCCCCACTGAGGTTCATGAACGTCTGCGGCTTCACCGGCAGCACAGGGCACGCAGCAATGCGCCCCTTGCCCACCACTGCTTTGCTCTGCATGGCACTCAGGCTTATACCCTCCGCTCTGGCTATAGCGTCTATCACCTCGAAGCCCACCTGGTGGGATGGGAGGCAGGCGGGAGAGGGAGGGGGACTGGAGGAGGGGTAAGGGAAGAAGGAGGTGAGGGGAATGAAATGCGTCCCTTGCCCACCACTGGTTTACTCTGCATGGCTCTCAAGCTGGGAGGCAGGAAAGGGCCGGGAGGGGATGGGTTGTAGGCAGTGGAAGAGGAGAGGGATAGCGGGATGCAGAGAAGAGAGGCACCCCCTTGCCCACCATCGCCCTGCTCGTTGAGGCGCCTCAAAAGTCGTCTCTTCTCCCGCAATTTTGAGGCGCCTCAAAAGTCGTCTCTTATCCCGCAATTTTATAGGCGCCTCAAAAGCTGAGGAGAGAGGCACCCCTTTGCCCACCATCGCCCTGCTCTGCATGGCGCTCAGGCTTATAACCTCCGCCCTGGCTGTGGCGTCCAAGCCCACCTGGTGGGGAGGTGAGAAGGAGAGAGGGGGAAACGGGAGGAAGAGGTCAGCAGCACTGGGATACGCAATGCGCCCCTTGCCCTCCCTCCCTCCACGGCCCTGCTCTGCATGGCGCTCAGAGCTGGTTTTTGAGAATTGTCAAAATCTCAGAACTATGCCCTCCGCCGTGGCTATGACATCTATCACCTCGACGCCCACTTGGTGGGGAAGGAAAGCAGGAGAGAGGGGGGTGGGAGGAGGGGGAGGAAGAGGAGAGGGGTAGGGGGAGTAAGAGGAGGGGTGGGGAAGAGCATGGGGAGGAGATCGACTAAAAGCCTACCTGGTGAGAAGGGCACGGGAGAGAGAAAGGGTTTGTGGGGAAGGGGGAAGGAAGAGGCTTGAAGCTTATCTAGTGGGGGCGGCAGGACAGGGCGGCAGGGGGTGGAAGGGCAGAGGAAGAGCGAATAGAGTGTATGTGGGAGAATGACCTGTGAGTCGACTCAAAAGTCACCTCGTTTGAAGGGCAGAGGAGGAGCAAATCGAATCGAGGGCATGTGGGAAGCTGAGGAAAATGCGCTCTCTGCTGATGCGATTTTTGGAGTTTGGCCGAGAATGTTGCAGCGGGCGGACAGAGAGTCGGCGCACTATGCGTGGGCTGGCCACACTAACCACACCCCAAAACCCCAAACCTCGAACCCCTTGAATCCCAAACTCTGAACGTTCATGTGCTCTGTTACCCCCTTTCCCTTCCCTTCCCCTACCCCTTATTTTGTCAACATAAAGACATGTTTTCGAGCCGCCACAAGAACGATGCCGATCCTTAGATAGAACAAATACGAAATCTGAGGCACACCTTTCCCCCTCCTCCCCTCCCAGCCCCCTTCCCCCCCTCTCCCCCTTTCAAAATATGGTTCTTAGATTTCTCACAGGCCAGTCCCGTGCACGCCCAGCGGCAACGTACATTGTGCCGCGTGCCCTCGTATTTCATCCCCAGCCCCACCAGCATCCACGGCCCGCCCCGCCCCGCATCCCCCTTGCTCCGCGCGCCCGGCGCCCCCGCGGTCTCCCCCGCCGCCTCCCCCGCGGCGCTGGTCGTGACGGCTCTACGTTTGCTGACGCGGAAGCTCGCCGCGCCGTCTGACGTGGATCGCTTCATGAATGACGTGGATCGCTTCATGGTTTGCTACATAGCGCAAAGAAACGGCAAAAATACACACCAAAGTCAGCTCACCTGCCTGCCCTCATCCCACAGCCTTGTCTCACCTGCCTGCCCTCATCCCACAGCCTTGTCTCACCTGCCTGCCCTCATCCCACAGCCTTGTCTCACCTGCTTGCCCTCATCCCACAGCCTCGTCTGACATGCCTGCCCTCATCCCACACGCCTTCCGCCGTCTGCGCCTCCGCCACCGACACCGCGTGCGCGCGAGCTCTCCCCCCATGGGGGCGCTGCGCTCTCGCCGCGGAACTCGACAAGCTGCAGGGCGAGGCGGCCGTGCGCGCGTCGACGCGCGGAAGGTGGGCCGAGCGCGCCGAAGACGGACAGCATGGAGGGGAAACCGGTTGGCAACGGACGGCCGGAGCGGCTACGACGGACGCGGTGAGCCGCGCAGATAGCGACGAGAGGGACATTGCCGGCCCTGCTGCACACGCGGCAGGCGGCATGGCGAATGCGGCTTCCCGCGCGGATGGTGCAAGGACGGCGCAGGCTTCCAGCGCGCGGAGAATGGCGGGCGAACGACACGGAAAGCAGCGGGCAAGCATGGAGAATCGAGAGGCATACGGCGTCGATGTAAATCCCCGTTTAGTAAACCTCTGTTTGTTGCAGACACAGAAAGCTTTTTTTCTTAAATAGCTATAACTCAAATGATGGAATTCCAGGTCGCAATCATGTACGTATTAAACGGGGGAACATGGCGGTATGATGTTCCAATTTCCTCTTGTGATCCTATATGAACATTTCCATTTCTCTGCTTTATTCACGTTTGTCATTTTATATTAACTCTCATATTGGTCACGCAAGCACCAATCAACAGCTCTTAGACTTGCAAACGATCAACCCTGCAAGACCCTTACTTGTAAGCAATTTTGTCTCATTGCAACAGTGTTGGCCTGAAAATAGTGTTAGGATATTATAGAGTTTAGTCATTGATAAAGTATTGTACCAGAAGTCTTGTGAATTTCTGTACTATGTGAATGTGAGAACAAGAATTGATATTAGTGAAAGTGTACAAAGAATGTATAGCCTAGCAGAGTACCTACTCGGTAATGTACTTATTCATGAATTGAGCTGTTTATCGAATCGACTACTGAAGCGATACTTTTCCTGTGTCACGCGAACAATTACAAGACTGTTCGCGTTACTACATGTAACTTATGCAAAGAGACACATGCTGGAGTAACATTTGTTAAAGAGCTATCTAGGCTTAGGGCATGTTCCTACGGGCCCTTATCAGGGCCTCCTCTTATCAGCTTCGCCAAACTCGCATGTAATTTGGCTGGACCGAGAAATCCCTTGTCAGATATACTTGACGGTTTGCAGTTGTGTGCAATTGTCCATGCTGGCTGATGTGGCACAATGCGACCCTTTCACGCGCAGCAACTTGAGAAGGCACAGAGCGCTCGCGTTTCGTAAAATGTGCACCAGGGCCACGTCAGCCAACACATTGCCCCATGCTCAAAGTCTACCACCCAGGGTGACACAAACTGGCTCCACCCAATACTTGACTCACAAGCACACGTGCGTTACAAAAGCGAGGTGAGAGAGCATCTTTCCAACAGACACAGGATTGTTAGGACGTTACTGTATGGCGCCATGACCGAGGTGCCTTTCCTCCCACGACTTTTAATTGTATGGCATGCTTTCTTCTATAGCACCTGCTTAGACTGTACTACGAAAGCCTGCAGTGCGCTACTGGAGCGCATCGAGGCCGCGGCGTTAGACGCTCAATGCGTAGAGTCGCGAAGTGAGCTGCGCACTAGGAACCGTCAACTACGTCGACGGCGAATAGAAGTGTAGGAGGACGAGATGGAGTCAATGTCGGAGGAGACGTTCACGGACCTCTTCCGCATCAATCGCGCCATATTAGACTACATATGCGAGGGAATGCAGCATATTTTGCACCCGGTCGTACATAGGCACGCATTGCCCATCACCGTGGCCGTTTTAATCCCCATTAAGTACTTCACGAGTGCAATGTCATACATTGATCTCGCCTTCTGGTTCGTTGTTCCAAAAACGCTATGTCATCGGCTTGTTGATGTGTTTCTACAGAACTTTCCGCGCGTCTTTAAAAAGGAGTGGGTTCGATGTCCTACGCAAGATGAAATGAGGGTCATGGCAGAGGATTCAAAAGCATCAAAGGCGTCCCAGCAGTGATAGGTGCGATTGATGGCACTCATATCCAGATTCGGGGAATGGAAGGTCATCGCTCGGAATATTACACCAGGAAATCACAGTATGCCGTTCAGCTGCAGATAACATGTGACGCCAAAGGCATTACATGGGACTACCTGATAGGCTTCCCGGGCACAGCACATGATCAACGAGTGTTCATACAGTCCAAGCTCCACAGCCGACTAGAAAATGGAGACATCGCTCCATACCAGCTGGTTGGCGACGCGGCATACCCCCTCCGCGACTATTGCCTCACACCCTTGCACGCTCCAACTGGCCGCCTCATGCTCGAGTGGCAGCAGACCTTCAACTACTGTCAATCCGCCACACGCATGTCCGGCGAGCGCACCATTGGCCAGTTCAAAGGCCGATACGGTTTGTTCGCTGGCCGGCACGACTGTGCGCTATGGCGGGTTCTTGCCGGGGCCAGCTGCGTCGTGATCCTGCACAACATGGGGATTTCAATGGCAGGGCCATGCATGAAAACCCCCAACGTCAGGTGGGCTGCCATTTCACTCAATCAGGATCCGTGGTGGACGCGTGGAGAGCTGGCCGAGTACGAGTGGGAGGCTTGTGACATTCCAACGCAGCCGAACTCAAAGAGCGACGCAAACGGCTCGGAGTGGCTCTCCACGACGCTTACCTTAAGCGTCGTCGTGGCGACGCCACTCCTCAACCCCGTCACTGAGGCCGGCATTGTCGTCGTGAGGCCAGTTGTCGTCCCCATGAGCGCGGGAGCCGGTGAAGCGTAACGGTCGTCTGGTCTGAGATTGCTGGCTCGCCATCCACCCTCAGATTACTCCAGTGATCTGGGCGATGCCATCCTCGGAACAGTGTTTCAGGGTGTCGGACAACAGTTGAGCTGCCGCCATTGTTGCGGTCTCATTGATCCCGCGTCTTGCGCCAGGGGGGGTGATGTGAACTGCATGCAGTACGGCATAAGGCATGAGTGTAATGTGCTTGTGATGTATACAATGACACGTATGATTAAACTAATCCGCCCATGTTGATGCACTATGTAATAAGTGGAATGTGGGAACAGAGAGATACACCATACGGTGAACATTAACTCACATGGAGTAGTAGCGTCAGTTTTCGCAGGATTGGGTATGTCTAGGCCGGGATCAACGGTGACGTCGTCACCAACTCCACCATCCAATGCATGAGGCTCGGCCCAGCGGTGTCCTTATAGAAGAGCACCATCCACTCCTACCATGGCGGCTTGATGACAGTCGCACCACCCGAGGCCGAATCATCCTTCGATACCTGCTTCCACAACGCCTTAAGCCGCTTCCACTGGTTGGTGCAAGCGGTAGCGTTGCGGCTCCAGTCAGGGTGCTGGAGCTTGATGTGCTCGCAGAGGCGGAGCCAGTATTGCGACCCTTGCTTCCCGGTCATCTGCTGCAGCTCATCCTTCGTGAACCACCGCGCCGCAACGAGGATGGTCGACTCCTTCAGAGACCACTCGGGGCGCTGGCCATTCGCGGGGCTGCTGCTCAGCTTAGCATCGTTGCGCACAGTCAACTTCCCCTTTCACTTCCCGTTTGAGCGCTCTAAAGCATCATCGCGCGGGCGATGAACAGGTGTGTCGTGGCATCTACATGAGTAGGGCCGTTGTATTCGGCAGCGCCGTGCCACGCAGCAACGGGATCGTCACCATCGGAACCAGCGTCCTCCTCCTCCTCGTTCGATTCCTTCTCAGGGTATTCGTCGTCGGTGTCATACCCTCGGGGCTTGATCGTAGAATGCGTGGAGTTGAGCTGGCGGCTCCCACGTTCCTTAATGGCCGGGCGGTTGGTTTCCCGGCGGTGAGTTCAGCATTCATCCATTGGACGTAGGCAAGGTATTCTGCTCGCCACCCTTCGTCCTCTGCTGCGCTTGTTTGCCCTTTGCGCTTGCGTGCCATGTCTGGCGGTTAAGACTTTCTAAGGTTGCTGGGTTGTTCCTAGTTCGTGGTTTTGTATGCATGGTTACACCCTTTCAATTGAACGTTGGTGTTGCTGGCATGGTTGTAACTGTTTGTGAGACTGGTCATCGTGCAGGCGCATCGGATCGCTGCGTGGCGGGAGTTGCTCAAAAGTTGACAAATTGTGATTCAATGGAACGATCAATCGAGCTGCACTTTCGCCACGTCACGGTCGTGCGCAGGTTAAGGTGACGGGCGCATTCCACGCCCAGCCAGTTACGCGTGTACCCTGGCCGTGCTCTGGAGCGGCCGCACGTTTGAGCGAGGGCGTGCGATTGATTTCATTCTTGCGCATTCTCATTACAAGGCTGACAAGAGGCGTTTTATAACGTGCATACAACAAAATGGCGAAGCTGATAAGAGGAGGCCCGGATAAGGGGCTGTAGGAACATGCCCTTAGAGAAACCCTAGCGTAGGAGCATGTTGAGAGCAGGCCCCTAGATTCGTTTTGGACCACGCTGATCCATCAGCCTTGGTACGGAAAAAAACGCTGAAAATTCAGGGTTCATAAAAGAAATACGCTAATTATGTATAGCTATGATTTTAAGCAGAATTACAAATTATAGATACAAAGTGTAACAATTTTCATGGTTGGTTTGGGAGTGGCGAGGGAAGCAGTCGGGCTTGGGGGAGGGGCCAGCAGGTGGGCTGGGGGTAGGGGCGAGAGAGGAACCTGGGCAAAGGGGAGAAACTGGGTGGGCTGGAGGAGAGCTGAGAGAAAGTGGGGGGCTAAGGGGGGGTTTAGAGTAAACGAAGTGGGCTGGGGGGAGATTCAAGTGAATGAAGAGAGCTGGGGGGAGATTAGAGTGAATGAAGTGGGCTGGGGGGGGATTCGAGTGAATGAAGTGGGTTAGGGGGAGATTCGAGTGAAACACGTGCGTTGGGGGGAGTTTCGTGTGGAAGTGGTGGGCTGGGGGGAGGGACAAGCGAAAGAAGGGGGACTGTGTGGGGGACGCTGGGGAATTTCAATTTCCAGCCCGTGATTGAGTGTGTTAGTCCTACACTTCGCCAGGCTGGCGGAAACTGTAATGCCGGTTTCAATGTTCACCCCCTACAAGGCTGAGTGCTCAGCCTACACTCATACAAATAGGCTGAAAAAACAACTAAGGTATATAAAAAAATACACTGAAAATCAACCAAGGTATATAGAAAAAAAACTTTGGATTGAGCCTACTGGCATTAGCAGAGATTGCCACGCGCCAACTACATCGACAAGCGCGATCGCAGGAGGAGGACTTGCCGCTATCGCCGTGGCTGAGAGATACGCACCGCCGGACGAAGGAATCTTGGCACAGGAGCTTGAGGTCGTGACGCGCAATGTTTTCGGGACTCCAGAAGATCCACTCCCTAGCACAGCCGCAGAGCCGCTTGAAGGAATCCTACGCGAACGGCGCCGTGGAACCTTCTATGCGTGCGTAGTGGCGTGCCACTACACCAAGGAGGAGTTCCTGAAGTACTGCCCTAAATGGCGCGACCCCAAGAAGAAACTCACCCTCAAAGAAGAAGAGGAGCCGGTGCGCCGCGAAGCTGACTAACTCCGCCAGAAGAGCATCGTTGAAACACGCGGAACCTTTGCGTGCGGCGCATGTGCCGCAGAAGCTGAAGAAGGCGCCTCCAATGAAGGGGGGTGGGGCAGCAACGATGGATGGGGAATGAGGTGGTACGTGGGGCAACACGTGAGGTACTTGGGCCGACGCCGGCGGAGGCTGGGGCACTACATGCGGCACCGGCGGAGGATGGGGCGCCTCCGGTGAAGGCTAGAGTGCTTGGCGAGTAGAACAAAAGGGGGGAACGGAAAAAACAAAAGAATCTGAACCTCCCATTGTCCCTCTTGGCCGCCGTTTGTGCTTCCCTGCACCTGCGCTGCCTCCCGCCGACATCCAACCGCATCGCGACCCTTGGGACACCATCAACTAGGGCAATTAGCACTCAACTCCGCGTCTCACCATCTACAGACCTGATCCCGAGCCGCGCGAACCCACAATCGTCCCCGAAACAATCCCCGAGACCAACACTCCCCTCTTTGTTATTCTCGACAGAGAATTTCTCACTCCAGTACTGGAAGAAGACCCTGAGGTGGTGTACACGTGCTACATGCGCGCACCTCCGGACTACGCACAACCGACGACCTGTGGGATCAGCGCCTCTGTCATCCCTCGCGCGTGACCCGGAACACCTGCATCGAGGTAGGAGTGTTCGCGCCCGGCGCACTTCTGCGCCCTAACTGTTCCGAAGTCAGAAACCCATCACAGCCGCGCAACCGCACCGTCTGCCCCAAGCCGCGCTGAGTCACAATCCCTTTCGGATGCTAGAGCCAGGGACAAATTGCTACCCCAAGTTGCACAAGGTAAACAATGATTTTCTCCTCGTCGGCCACTGCGGGCTCAACGATGGAGGTTACACACTTACCTTCGTCGACGCGAAGACCCGCTACGTGTGGATCGCCGCAGCAGGGCGTACGAAGTTTTCCGCGTCTGGCTGGCGCACGCCGGCAAGAAACTGCAGATCTGGCAGACTAACGGCGCAACAAAATTCCACAGCAGGGAGCGACATGACTACATGGTGCAAAAGGAGATATCGCACCACGTCTCCCTCCCCTACGCGCATCAGCAGCAGGGCGTCGCCAAACGCACCAACCGCACCCTCATGACAAAGGTGGGCATGCTACTGAAGCAGTCAAAGCTTCCCGCAACGTATTGTTTGTACGATATGCACCACGTCGTGCGGGTGCACAACCTCCTCTCACCATGGCCATCATGTGGAACTCATCTCCGCACATAAAATGGACGAGATAGAAAGGGCAACACTTCCATGCTCCACGTGTGGGGGTGCATGGTGCAGTATCGGCCCCCTACCTCAACTATTGGAAAGTTCACGAGCTGCGCGCGTTGGGGCATTCACCTGGGAATCAGTTACGAATACAAAGCATGGATCATCCTGGACCTGCTCAGCAACAAGGTTACAAACGCGCGCGACGTCAACTTCTACGAGCGACTTAACCTCGCTCAATGTTGCGCCAACGAGCAGGCAAACGCAAATCAGGTCTAACCAAATGACGGGCACAGCTACGCCACCCCTGAATACGAAGCCGCCACCGCCATCCTAGAGCAGGACAATGTTAGCGAGCTCTCCGACATCGACAACGATGACGATGACGACATCGACGACTCGCCTCCGGGACCTGCGGGAGGAAGCAGCAGGGATCCCGCACCACCCTATCCACCTGAGCCGAAAAGCGATGACGACGACGTGTTGGAGGTTGTCCTGCAGCATCGTCATAACAACACCGTCTCCGGACTGTAGCTGCTGGGCTTGCACACCGCATCTCCACAGCCCCGCGCATCATCGAAGCGAAGAACCTGCAAGGAATGGACGGGACCACTCATAAAGAAATGGCGCGAAGCCGTGGACGCAGAAATCCATGCCTTGGAGTCACGTGATACTAGGGTGCTCGTCGACTATGCAACGATCAAAGGAAGGAGAGTCCATGGAGGGGGAAGTGGGTTTTCCGTGTGAAGACCGCAGCAGATGGGATAATCGAGCGCTTTAAAGCGTGTTGGATCGTACGCGGTTACGATCAGAGGCAATGCATCGATTTGATCAGACCTTCGCTCCGATCAGTCGTCATACCTTCGTCATAATTCTGTTCACCATCGCTGCAGTAAGGCACTTACCTCTCCGCCAGATTGATGTGAAGAATGCGTCCCTCTACGCGTTAGCAGACGCAGTGATTTTCGTGGAGCAGCCACATACTTACGACAAAGGGGACTCACACATCTGTCAGTTGAAGAAGTCCCTTTACGAGATCAAGCAAGCTCCACGGCTCTTGCAGAAGCACCTGCACAAAATCCTACTCGAGATAGGATTCGCGCAGCTGCCGCACGACCCAGGCATGTATCGCCTGCCTTTTTTCGGCGACTACATTATGTCGACGACCTGTTCTATACAGGGACGAGCAACACGCAGCTCGACCAGTTCGAGAAGAACCTGGCGATTCGCGTCGACATCACCAGTAATCATGACGTGAAGCAGCTCCTGGGCGTCACCTACGCGCCGGAAGCCATCCACCTCCCAGCTGCCAAATTTGCTCAAACGCTTGAGAAGCGGTTCAACATCTCCCGTGCACCACTCTCCACTCCTTTTCGCACACCCAGACCGAACTACAAACCTGACAACAAAGCCCTATCCTCCGCAAGCCTTCACACTTACCAGCAGCTGGGATGTCTTCTCTTTGCTTCAGACCCGGACAATCGACGGCCCAGAACTGGGTTCCCGTTCTGCCTCGAGCCAGCAGGACCCATTTCCTAGAACTCACAGAAGCAGGAACTGGTTTCCTTATAATCGGCAGAAGCTGAATTCATCGCATCGACAGCAGCAGTTCACGAGGGACTTTATCTATAAGAGCTCTTGCAGGAGGTGAAAATTCATACTTCGCCAACCTTTCGCCTGCACTGCGACAACCAGAGCGCGATCAGAATCGCGGACAAACCAGGATTCGTCAACCGCACCAAGCACATCACGCTGCGATACTTGTTCGTCAAGGACTAAGATGACAAGGGCAAGGTTGACCTGACATATTGCCCGATAGCTGACATGGCATCCGACTTCCTCACGAAGTGACTATCCTGTTGGCAGTACCAGCACTGCTCTGAACTAAGCGGAGTGGTCAAGCGGGTCAAAACTTGCTACGGCCAGGAGTGAAGGGGGGTATTCTGAATAGTAAATTGAGAAGTGATGTGCACTCCTATCAGTAGCAAGCGAAGAATGCAATGAAGAGTATGAAGGCGAAAGGACGGAATGACGCGAAATGTCGCGTACGGTTGACAACATCTGGACCGTCGGAGCAGAAGCATCAAGCAGCTGCAGGAGCGGGGATTTTGACGGGAACTGGTTCATAACCGTCTGGAGTCGCACTGTTTGATTTCCCTGTAATAATGGAATGTACCCCTTAGAGGACATGGCTAGTATAGGTCGATTTGTTTTCCCTTGTTACTGCTATATAAACCTATGTATGTATGTGCTTGTTTTAATCATCTCAATCATTTTAAATTCACTCTAACCTGAGGACAATAAATCTGTTGCAATACACTTTTTGCGAACCTTCCTTAGGTGGTCCTAGGCAAGATCAACCGTCTGATCGCAACATCGAGTACGCGAACGAATGCACTTTACGAATGATTAGGAATCTAGGAATCTACTCTTGTAATGTATTATTAGACATCATGCGTGCTTAGTGCCCCCAACTTTCGACACTTCTGTCAAATGTTGATATTTGTGATAGGTTGTAGTGAGTTGCTCCTTAGAGAGTATAACACAGTTAGGGTTGCCTATTTGTATTGCCTTGTTTCCTAACTCACCATTCCGTTGCATTCTACTTTTGAGATGGTATCATAGTAGGTCCGAGTTCCTTAGCCCTAGCCTAGCCCTAGCCTAGCCCTAACGCCCTCCGCGCCCACGCGCCCTCCGCGTCTTAGCGCCCTCCGCGCCTTAGCGCCCTCCGTGCCCTCCGTGCCCTCCGCGCCCTCCGCACGTTAGTGCCCTCCGCGCCCTCCGCGCCCTCAACGCACACCTAGCCCGACCCCTCCCACTGTCGCGCCCTCTCCCTGCCCGTCGCGTCGCCCCAACTCCCCTTCCCCTGCCCGTCGTGTCGCCTCCTCTCCCCCTGCCCGTCGCGTCGCCTCCCCTCCTCCTGCCCGTCGCGTTCGCCTCCCCTTCCCCTGCCCGTCGCGTCGCCTCCCTTCCCCCTGCTCGTCGCGTCGCCTCCCCTCCTCCTGCCCGTCGCGTTCGCCTCCCCTTCCCCTGCCCGTCGCGTCGCCTCCCTTCCCCCTGCTCGTCGCGTCGCCTCCCCTCCTCCTGCCCGTCGCGTTCGCCTCCCCTTCCCCTGCCCGTCGTGTCGCCTCCTCTCCCCCTGCACGTTGCGTCGCCTCCCCTCCTCCTGCCCGTCGCGTTCGCCTCCCCTTCCCCTGCCCGTCGCGTCGCCTCCCTTCCCCCTGCTCGTCGCGTCGCCTCCCCTCCTCCTGCCCGTCGTGTCGCCTCCCCTCCTCCTGCCCGTCGCGTCCGCCTCCCCTTCCCCCGCCCGTCGCGTCGCCTCCCCTCCTCTTGCCCGTCGCGTTCGCCTCCCCTTCCCCTGCCCGTCGCGTCGCCTCCCCTCCTCCTGCCCGTCGCGTTCGCCTCCCCTTCCCCTGCCCGTCGCGTCGCCTCCCCTCCTCCTGCCCGTCACGTTCGCCTCCCCTTCCCCTGCCCGTTGCGTCGCCTCCCGTCGCCTCCCTTCCCCCTGCCCGTCGTGTCGCCCTCCCCTCCCCGCCCCGTCCCACCGTCGACAACCTCCTCCCCGCCCCTGTCCTACCGTCGCACCCTCCTCCCAGCCCCTTCTCATCGTCGCGCCCTCCTCCCCACCCCTTCTTACCGTCACGCACCCTCCTCCCCGCCCTCTCCTAACGTCGTGCGCCCTCCCCCCGAGCCCACCGTGCCCTCGCCCTCACCTAGGCTCGCGCCTCCGCGTTAGCCCGTTCCCACCCGCGATTGGCACGCGCCCGAACCCCACTACCGCCCTGCGCGGGGGGCCCTAGACAAATCTTTTGCCACTGGTCTCGCCCTCAGCGGCTGGCAGCCGCTTTCTTTCGCCGGCCACCTAGGGTAGACCCGTGTTCCTGCTAGTTCCTCGCCCCTAGTGCATGTAGCTGGAGTTCCGCCGTTTCACGCATAGACTAGGTCCCTCCGTGCTCCTAGCCTCTACCTCCACCGGTCTCACACCGCGCCACACCTGGCGCTCCTAGGCTTCCCTCCTCGTTCTTAGCTCCGCCTCCGCCGAGCTCCGGCCGCCTCTAGCATGGCCTCCGTTATGGAGTCCCGTCGCCTTCGTTTCGATGCGGAGGGACGCCCGATAGAGTTCGGTACCTGGCAGCGCCAGACCACGCGTTTCCTTACCAGCCAGCGTCAGGACGGCGCCACTCTGTGGGCCCACGCGTCTGGTGCCCTCAAGGCCCCCCCGTCCCCCGCCGCCCTGCCGACCGCCTCAGAGCCGACTCTTACGGCCCAGGCGGACTACGAACGTCGGGTCCTGGCACGGGATGTGTGGCTCTCTCGTGACGCTACCGCCACACTCACGCTATCGGAGCTTCTCCCCCCGACTGAGGCCACCCACTTTGACAAGGTGGAGACAGCACAGGGGGTTTGGGATGCTATTGTTGCCCGCTATTCCACCCCTTCCTCTGCCTCCCTCAGTCGCCTCCTCATGCCGTTCGTGTTTCCCGACCTAGGCTTGTTTGCGACTGTGTCTGACCTAGTGACTCACCTCGGCTCACTTGACGCCGGTTTCCGTGCGGCCTGTACCGACGCCGAGCTTCTTGCTGCTCCCTCCCCCATGTGGCTCACTGTGCACTGGTTAGTCACCCGCCTCCCTGACCGCCTTGCCACTGCTCGCGACTCGCTTCTCCAGAAGCACCCCACTGAGCTCACCATGGATCTCCTTGAGACTGCTCTCGGGACGATCGAAAGTAGTCTCCTCACTGTTGCCTCCGCCACTGACGCAGTAGCCCCTTGTCTCTTTGCGGGGTGTGCCGCCCCTCAGCTTCCCACTTTCACTGCTACCCGCGCTTCTGCTGCTGTGTCGGTTTCTGAGGACACTGCTGCCGTTTTTGCCGCAGACTGGCAGAAACGGGGCAAGGGTGGTAAGAAGGGCGGGAAGGGGGGAGGTGAAGGTGGTGGAGGCGGCGGAGGAGGTGGAGGTGGAGGTGGGAGCGGAGGCGGCAGTGGTGGAGGCGGCGGCGGCGGCGGCGGCGGCGGTGGTGCACCAGGAGGAGGTGGCCTTGGCAGAGGTGCAGGACAGACAGGCCCACCCACTGGTGGTGGCCCGGCCGGCGGGGGTGTTGGCCCCCAGCAGCAGCAGCCACAGCAGCACCAGTCACAGCAGGGACAGCACCAGCAGTAGGGACCGCAGCAGCAGCAGGCACTGCAGCAGTTCCAGCAATGGGGTCCGCAGCAGCACTGGGGTCCCCCGCCGCAATGGGGTCCGGGAGGACCAGGGAGCACCAGCCGCAGCGGCAGCACTTCCAGCTAGGCCCCTCGCCCCCCTCGCTGTGACACTAGCCCCTGCACCCACTGGTGCCTCACCGGACCTGGCAGCCCCTGTCTCTGCGGTCGTGACGACCACTCTGCTGTGCGGTGCTTCCGCCGCCTTGACGACCTCTACCGTGCTCGTTGGGGCCCTACGGCGACCACGCCTCGCTGGGCTCGCCTGTTAGCCCGTAAGATTGATGTGTTTGATCTGACCATGGACGATGTTCGTCAGCATGCTTTGTATGCTGCTGTTGACTATAGTGCCAATGGATCTGTGTGCTCGCGTGTTCGTAGACTAGCTTGCTTGCCTCCTGCTAGTGTAGACTTGTGCCTTTCTAGTCTAGGTGCTTGTGTTGCTGCTCTAGGTGCTTGTGTAGCCACTAGGACAGGTGACCCTCCCGCTGAGGCATCGCTGTCCTTCACGCTGGACTCTGGTGCGTCTCAGTGCTTCTTCCGCGACCACACGACCCTCACGCCACTCCTCACTCTTGTTTCGGTGGCTCTGGCTGATCCTACCTCAGGACCAGCCGTAGCTCGTAGCTCCACTACCCTCCCGTGTCCTGTGATCCCCTCTGGTGTCCTGCGCGGATCCCCTCGTTCACTCGGAACTTGGTGGGTGTTGGTTTCCTCCAGGACAGGGGGATCACGGTTACCTTTGTGGGGGGTGGGAGGACTGCGGTCTGTACAGACGCTGCCACAGGTGCTGTTCTGGCCACGTTCACCAAGGAGCCCCGCTCCGGTCTCTACGTTCTCAACACCGAGCGCTCCCCGGTTGCGTCCTCCGCTGAGGTCGTTGCGTCCCCTCCAGTCCAGGTGTCCAGTCCGGTTGCTGTGTCTAGCCAGGTAGTCGTGTCTTGTCCAGCTGCAGTGTCTAGTCAGGTCGCGCTGTCTAGTCCAGTTGCTGCATCCTGCTCCTGTCGGTCCCTCACCCACCGGACCGTCTTGTGGCACCGCCGCCTTGGCCACCCGTCAATCCCCCGCCTCCGCGGGATGACCACTCACGGGCTTGTCACCGGTCTCCCACGCACCTTTCCGTCGCTCCCCACCTCCCCTGCTCCCCCTTGCACTCCTTGCGTCGCCGGTCGCTTACGCGCCACTCCCCACTCCTCCTCCCTTCGTCCGGCCACTGCTCCCTTTGAGACCCTCCACTTGGACGTCTCCAGGTACACCACCGTGTTCCCTCTCGCGAAGAAGTCCGAGGTGACTGCTACGCTGATCCGGTGGCTTCTGGCTACTGAGGGCACTCGTGGTCGTCGTGTTAGTTGTCTACACTCCGACCGTGGGGGCGAGTTTCGCTCCGGGGTTCTTGGCGGCGGTGAACAGGGCATTGTACAGTCCTGGACGCTTCCGAAGTCCCCACAGCAGAATGGGGTTGCTGAGCGCCGCACTGGTTTGGTCATGGACATTGCTCGCACGTCCATGATCCATGCCCGTGCGCCCCATTTTTTGTGGCCCTACGCGGTTCGCTACGCCGCACACCAGCTGAACCTCCAGCCGCGTGTCTCGCGGCCCGAGGCTTCACCGACCAGTCTTTGGTCCGGTTCCCCTGGTGTTGGGTCGACCTTTCGTGTTTGGGGCTGCCTTGCGCTTGTTCGCGACACCTCCGCGGACAAGCTCTCGGCACGCGCCGTCCCCTGTGTCTTCCTTGGTTTCCCAGTGGACTCTGCCGACTGGTCCTTTTACCACCCGCCCCTCCACCAGTTCCTAGACTCCCGTGACGTCCGGTTTGACGAGTCCGTGTCTTACTACACCCGGTACCCTTGTCGAGGTCTCCCGGTACCCCCTCCCCCTCTTTTCCTCGCACCCTCTCCTCCTCCTGCTCCCGCTCCTCAGGTACCCCCGCCCCCCCCTGGTCCTGCCCCGTCTGGTGTGTCCCACGCTACCCCTCTTCCCTCGGTCGCGCGTCCGGTCGCGTCTCCCTCCCTGCAGTCCTCCTCACCCCTCAGTAGCCTTCGGCACTTCCGCGACAGGTTACTGTGGACTCGGTTGGTGTGGGAGCTGGAGGTGCAGCCGCTGGCGGTCCTCGGTCTGGGGGTGCTCGTTCGAGGGGTGCTGGAGCTGGAGGTGCTGGCACGGGTGGCGCTAGCTCTGGGGGTGCTGGAGCTGGAGGTGCTGGCGCAGGTGGCGCTGGCTCTGGGGGTGCTGGAGCTGGAGGTGCTGACACTGGAGGTGCTAGTTCTGGGGGTGCTGGAGTTGGAGGTGCTGGCGCAGGTGGCGCTAGCTCTGGGGGTGCTGGAGCTGGAGGTCCTGACATAGGAGGTGCTGGTTCTGGGTGTGCTGGAGCTGGAGGTGCTAGTTTTGGGGGTGCTGGTGCTGGAGCCGCTGGCACTGGAGGTGCTGGTTCTAAGGAGTCTGGGGCTGGATACCCTGGTTCTGCGGAGTCCACTCCGCCTCCCCACCGCCACGACACGCGTCTCCAGGCGGCCCGTCGGCGTGAGCGTGAGGAGCAGGTGCTGTTGGAGAGGGAGCGGCAGGAGTTGCGGCAGTTGGACTTGCTGGAGCAGCAGCAGCAGCGACCGCAGCAGCAGCCGCCGCCGCAGCAGCAGCAGCAGCGGCCGCCGCCGCAGCAGCAGACACCACCGCCGCTGCCACGACCACCGCAGCTCCCTCTGGAGCGGCAGTTGTTCCCACCCGTGAGTGGCCTTTGGGCCCTTGGTCTTCCCTCCTCTCCTCCTGTTCACACTCCGTCCCCTCCAGCGTTTAGTCCCACGTTTCCTCCTCCTGACGACAGTCGGCGGTCTGGTCTTCTCCTCCACCGCAGTCTCCTCCACCTGGTGTCCCACACTCTTGTGTCCGTCCCTGTCCTCCGCATGCTCGTCCCTCGTCTCCCGTTACCGACCTCCGCACTGCCCTCCTTTGTTTGTCTCTTCGTTGTCCTCCTCCTGAGTCCGTTCTCCCGTCTCCTCCTCCGTCCTCTCTCCCTTTCCCCCCTACTCATGTCACTGACTACTACCGCGGTGTTCGTCCTGTTGTCTCTCGTGTCCTCGCCACTCTTGTCACCGCCTCTCGTTTCCCTCCGTCGTCTGTCTCGGCTCTCACTGCCACTGTCGCTAAGTTTGCTGCCGCCAGTCGCCTTGACTACACCACTCGTGTGGTGCAAGCTCCTCCCTCCCGTCCTCTATCCGTCGGGGGTGAGTTTTCCCTTGGCTGTGACGTCCTAGAGGACAGAGAGTCTGAGCTGGAGTACTGGGCAGCTTCTTCTCCCTCTGTCTATGCCATGCTGCTATCCCCCGAGGGAGACCCCGACGCCCTTGACATAGGGACTCCTCGTACTTACCGCGAGGCAGTGTCAGGGGCGTGGGCCTCTCAGTGGAAAGCGGCTATGGCTTCGGAATTAGCGTCTTGGAGATCCACAGGCACCTACGTCGACGCATTTCCCCCTCCCAGGGCGAACGTAGTTGATGGCATGTGGCTCTTCAAGGTGAAGCGGCCGCCTGGTTCACCGCC